GGGGTAGCAGGAATTAAGCAGAGCAGTGGAGGACAGAGGGTCTTGGAGGTGGCTCATCCATAGGGTCGCCATGGGTTGAGATCGACTCAAGGGCAGTTAACAACAACAACAACACCGTAAGGCAGCAGTGAAATAGAATCATAGAATTACAGAGTTGGAAGAGACCACAAGAGCCATCCAGTCCAACCCCCTGCCATGCAGGAACTCAAAATCAAAGCATCCCCGACAGATGGCCATCCAGCCTCTGATTAAAGACCTTCAAAGAAGGAGACCCCACCACTCTCCGAGGGAGTGTGTTCCACTGTCGAACAGCTCTCACTGTCAGGAAGTTCTTCCTAATGTTGAGATGGAATCTCTTTTCCTGTAGCTTGCATCCGTTGTTCTGGGTCCTATTTTCTGGAGCAGCAGAAAACAAGCTTACTCCCTCCTCAATATGACATCCCTTCAAATATTTAAAGAGGGCTATCATATCCCCTCTTAACCATCTCTTCTCCAGGCAAAACATACCCAGTTCCCTAAATTGTTCCTCGTGGGACATGCTTTCCAGATCATTCACGATTTTAGTTGCCCTCCTCTGGACCCCCTCCAGTTTTTCAACATCCTTTTTTTTCATTATCCTTGAAGGCACACAACAAGAAGAATGGGGTAACAAGTAAAAGTGTATTTTATCTATATATTTAGAGGCAGCAGAAGTATTTGATAACTATATTATCTGGTTGGTTGGAAGCCAATTGTTCTTCCTTGTTTCATTTTGTTTTTGTTGTCTTTGTTATTTAGCGTAGTTACTAATTAGTATGTTTAGTATTAGTGTGTAGTTTGTAGCATTAGTTTTGTTTAAGTTGAGTTTGTGGTTGTTTGTCATATGTAGCCTGATCCTACATGTTGTTTTAGAATTGTTGAATGTATATGTCAATAAAAATATTATATTTAAAAGAGTTATGCATCAAGTATCAACCACAGTTGCTCACAGCTTGTCACTACGGTCCAGACAGAGTGTGTGTATGTGTGAGAGAGAGAATGAACATATTTTCCTGTTTGGAAATTAATAGAGAAATCTTATGTAAGGAGCTGTTCTCACATCAGAGTAAAATGAAGTTATTCCTTCCCACTAATTTAAGGTGATGGGGCAAGGAGCTTGTAATCTAGCCTACTTGCTTCTTGTTAGAAGAAGAGCAGAGCAGAAGGTGAACCCAACCAGGACATCAACTGAGAGGGAAGGAGGAAGCCAACTAACTAAATATACAAACTTCCTGGAGAGTCTTTGGAAGCTGCAGGAACAAACCAATTAAACTTTGCAAACTGTAGTAAACTGAAGAACCAGCGTGGCATAGTGGTTTGAGTGCTGACCTTTGATTCTGGAGACCAGGGTTCAATTCACCTCGCTCAGGCATGGAAACCCACTGGGTGACCTTGGGCAAGTCATACTCTCTCAGCCTCAGCCTCACCTTTGGGTCGCCATAAATCAGAAATGGCTTGAAGGCACACAAGACAGACACAGAGAATAAGCTACAGGTCTACTAGCTGAGCTAGAGATTTGCACACCACCCTTTCCTCTTGCCTAAAGTCAAGCTCACCAAAACTGGAGAATTTCTACCCTTGTCTTTGGGGGGGGGGGGTAAATACCAGATCCTGCCTGATCTTTGAACCAAATCCTTGTGATCTTGGAAGCTAAAATCCTGGTTAGTACTTAAATGCGAAACTACCAACAAATGCTAGGTGCTGTATATCAGAGGAAGGAACTGGCAAAACTACCTCTGAGTATTCCTTGCCCAAAAAACTATGAAACGTATGGGGTCACCATAAATTGAAAGGCGACTTGAAGGGGCATACACACACATTCCCACCTGGAGATGACCCACAAAAACTGAAGACTCAGAGTCAACTTCTGAGATCTGGCAACCCTAACTTCCAGTATCCCCCACCCATCATACTCAGCATAAATAAATTTAAAATGCCATACGATAAGCAAATACTTCCTTCATTGTTAGTGTTGCCAGCTCCCTGTGGTTTTAATGAACTTTTTTTTAAAATCATCTTGTTATTTTTAACTATTGAGTTTACTGTATTCCTTGTAAACCACTCTGAAGTATTTTACTTTATTTTATTTATATCCCAACTTTTTCCCTTGTGGGACCCAAAGCAGCACACAATTTGAGTTAAAACAGAATACACTTAAAAGAATGGGTAGTACAAATATTTAAAAACCCAGTTAAACAAGCATTTATATTAAAAATATTAATTAAAAACATTTTGAAAAGGCATTTAAAATAGAACTGAAAAGCAGATTAAAAAAAAAAGCTATAAATAAGTAATTTTGTTCCGAGTTCCCTTCTGATTAGGCCAACTGCTTGAGCTATTTCAGCATGATAGGACTTAACATTCCTGTTCTCCAATCCCTGGTGCTCTCTACAATTTTCCACTGGGTTTTTTGCTTCCTACCAAACCAATTCTGAATTTTGGGAAAGGGATAAATCTCTCAGAACCACCTTCACCAACCAGGTGTTCTCCCAAGGTTTCAGATTGCAAACCCCAGCATCCTGACAATTGACCATCTTGTCAGAGGCTGATGGGAATTGAAGCCCTAAACATTCGGAGGACACCAAATTGGAGAAGGATGGTGTAGCTCAGTGCTTCCCAAAGTGGTGATCCTTAGATTGGTGCCAGTCCCTGGCAAGTTTCAAGGATTGAAACAATTGTACTGGATGGACATAAATTAAGCCTGGCCAGTAGCAAAACTGAGCAGCACTGACTTAAGTTATCCACACTACACAATTATAGCAGTTTGATCTCAGTTTAACTGCTATGTCCCCTTCCCATGGAATCCATGGAATTTGTAGTCTGTAGAAATAGAGATTCCCAGTACTACAGCCATTAAAGTTCTCTGGCTAAGAATTGTAAGCACTACAAATCCTAGGATTCCACAGGATGGAGCCACAGCAGTTGAAGTGGGATGAAACTGCTCTAATTGCACAGTGTGGCCATACAAGGGAGCAGGTGATTATTTTTACAATTACACTAAAGCTGCATCTGCATTGCAGAAATAATGTAATTGACACTGCTTTAGCTGCCATGGCTCAAACTTTGAAATCCTAGGATTTGTAGTCTGTTGTGGCACCAGAGGTCTCTGACAGAGAAGGCTCGATGTCTCCCAGAACTACAAATCTCAGAATTCCACAGCATTGCACCATGGCAATTAAAGCAGTGTCAAACTGCATTATTTCTGCAGTGCAGATTAGCCCTAAATGAAAATTTAATAGGCCACACACAACCAAAGCCAACTCACCAAGATGACACACAGTGTTGTCAACTATGTTTTATGCATTCATTCATTTTTTTACAACAGCAACAAAAAAATTACACTCGTTAGTCCCACAGAAATAAGCCACATGGCATAGAAGAGAAAGTTTTAAATTACAGCACAATACAGATGCTAAGTCTCACAGAAATATTTCAAGCCAGATCCTCACTTTGCCAGATTTGCTTTTGCAAAAAGCAGCTTTTTAGCTGTTTTACTTAGAATGCCCTTTAGATTTTGGACTGCTGCTCCCACTTCCTGACCATTGATAATGCTGGCTGGGGTGACAGAAGTCACAGTCTAGTCATATGTTGAAGGCCACAAACTCCCCAACTTTGACTTAAAAGCAGAGGTGGGCAACTGTGGCAAGTCAGGGAAGGAGTTTTCTATCCGGAAAGCCTCTGGGGACCACACAAACTACCAAAAACCTGGCAGGAAGTCTTCTTTCTTAATGGTATTTTTTAAATGTTAATCAGTACCATAGGGCCCACAACCTATTTAAAAAGTGAAACGAACTTTGAGGAAAAACAATAACCCTTTTTATGGTCATAAAAATGGCTCAGGAGAATTTGGTATGGTCAAAGGCCGCAAACACAGCTTTCTTTTTCTTTTCTTTTTTTTTTTTTTTGTGGAGTGGGGTTACTTTGTCCATAAAGAGGTGAATAAAATTGCAAGGAGTATTTTTCAAATGAGTTATTTCACATTGGAGGTTAGACTGTGAGCCAGGGGTGTAGCTATTGGGGCGGCGTTACCCTCATAATAATTCTGCCTTCCCCAAAATAAAATTTTCCTTCATTCTCCAAATTCCTATTATTGCAAAGTGAGGCACTGAGAAATATGCACACCTATAACCCTTATATATGTGTAGGTGCCAGCTTGGCATAGTGGTTTGAGTGTTGGATTGTGACTCGGAGACCAGGGTTCGGTTCCCAGCTTGGCCATGAAACACTGACGCTCTCTCAGCCTTAGGGGAAGGCAATGACAAACCAGCTCTGAACAAATCTTGCCAAGAAAACCCTATGATAGGGTCATCTTACGGCTGCCATAAGTCAGAAACAACTTAAAGTCACACAACAACAACAACAACAACAACAACAACAACCCTTATATTTGCTGTGTGCACATTCCCTAGATAACTTTGGCTACCCTTTTTATTTGGATGCCTAAGCTGCATTTCTAAATGCTTGATGGAAGATTTCATTTGCTGAAATGCTAGAAATTTGGAAACTGAAGGAAATTTTTAATATTAGGGGAGCTGAATTCTTATTTGCAGGTCACTATCCTCCCCAACTTTGAAACAACATTTGCAGGTCACTGTCCTCCATTCTCCTCTTCTTCCCAGCCGATCGATGCACTGAGCATTTGGAAACACTTTCCTCTGGGGAGAAAGCAATGCTGGGGGGGGTTGTAAACACTCCCCCCCACCCCCAAAAAACCCTTTACAAACCATGAAGATGGTATCAAGGCCTTGCTGACCCTGGCACAAGAGAACTGAAGGGAAGCACAGTTGCCCAATAGTTGTTGTATCCTTCTGCTTCTCAAATTCTCACAAAACTCAAAATTCCTAGGAAGAATGTCACAGTAAGAGGAAAACCAGTGGCCAGAGAAGGAGGCTCTGCAAGGAGCTGGCTGTCCTCTCTTTCTTGGAACAAACAGTTCATTCCATCTTCCAGTTAGCTGTGAGCTACAGAGCTCCAAGGCAGCACCATCAGCCAGATTTCAGGGTTTCCCAGGTTGTGTGAGTGTATGGGTGAGTTTGGGACATCTTTAATTGTTGCAATCTGCTGCTTGCAAGCAGCACAAAGAATTATTCCACTGAAGGTGTGGGCGTGCTGTGTGCCCTCAAGTCATTTCCAGCTTATGGCAACCCCAAGGCAAACCTGTCATGGGATTTTCTTGGCAGAGGAGGTCGGCCATTGCCTTCCCCTAAGGCTGACAGTATGTGACTTGCCCAAGGTCAGTGGGTTTCATGGCCAAGCAGGACTCGTACCCTGGCAGCAGATGTATACATCTCCAAGATATGTAATCCAATAACAAATACGTAGTGATTTGCTTCTTCTGTTCAAGGCAGCAGATCCAGAGCTTCAGCATTCCCAAGGGATGCTTGTGCAAACTTCCATTGCATGAGAGGCAGCCCTACTGTTAAGTAATTGCTTCACTGTTCAGTAGCCTGTACTCTTTAAGAAATTTCTTGAAATCTTCAGTCACTCTGTGTTCCTGTAATTTGCCTTTGGGTATCTTCTTGGGTGGCAATGAATCTTTATTCTTCTCTATAACCCTCTGGGTATTGATAGAGTACTACCAATACGCCATGATTGTGCCACAATCTTGTCTTTTCCAGACTAAAGGCACTCAGCTTCTTTCTTTCTTTATAGCACTTATTTCCCACATTGCTGTTGTTGTTGTGTACCTTCACATCATTTCTGACTTATGGCAACCCTAAGTCAACCCTATCACAGGGTTTTCTGGGGCTGTGTGACTCAACCAAGGTGGATTTCCATGGCCAAGTAGGGAATCAAACTGTGATCTCCAGAGTTACAATCCAATGCTCAAACCACTACACCACACTCACTCTTATTTCCCATACTCGCAACTACTTTGGTGCCTTCTTCCTCTGAACCCAATCCAATTTGCCTATGTCCTTCTTAAAGTGCAGCACATACACAAAAAAAGAAATTCTTCAGGTGCCCTCAAGTTCTCCTCTCCCCTGCCCCAGCATATTTCAATCATATTATATCTCCTTCTTCCTTCCCACAAAACCTGTTTCCTGATGAGAGCAGTGTACGGCCCTTTAAACAACATTTCAGTGGCTCTTTGTAGCTCAGGAGTGGGAAATAGTGTCCCTGTTGGATTGCATGTCCCAGTCATCCCAGCCAAGATGCTGGGAATTCTACTGCACAGACTCTAGAGTGCCGCTTCATCCCTGCCCATTCTTTAGCTACACAATCCTTATCACAATCCACAAGGACCATCCAGTTCATCCCTCTGCCATGCAGGGACACACAATCAAAGCACCCCTAACAGGTGGCCATTCAGCTTTTGTTTAAAAACCTCCAAAGAAGGAGACACCACCACCCTCTGAGGGAGTATGTTCCACTGTCAAACAGCTCTTACTGTCAGGACATTCTCCCTAATGTTGAAGTGGAATCTCTTTTCCTGTAGCTTGAATCCATTGCTTTGAGTCCTATTCTCTGGAACTTCAGAAAACAAGCTTGCTCTATCTTCAATATGACACCCCTTCAAATATTTCAACAGGGCTATCATAACACTTCTTAACCTTCTCTTCGTCAGGCTGAACATACCTAGCTCCCTAAGTCTCTCCTCGTAGGGCATAGTTTCCAGACCCTTCATTTTGGTCGGCCTCCTCTAGACATGCTCCAGCTTATCAACATCCTTTTTGAAATCTGGTGCCCAGAACTGGATGCAGTATTCCAGGTGAGGCCTGACCAAAGTAGAATAGAGTGGCACTATTACTTCCCTTGATCTAGACACTTTACTTCTATTGATGCAGCCTAAAATCGCATTGGCTTTTTCAGCTGTCACATCACACTGTTGACTCAGGTTCAACTTGTGGTCTACTAGGACTCCTAGATCCCTTTCACATGCACTGTTGTCAAGCCACGTGTCCCCCATTCTGTATCTATGCATTTCATTTTTTTTCCTGCCTAAGTGCAGTACCTTACATTTCTCCCTGTTGAACAGAACTGTGATTAGTAGAGATCTCAGGACCTCTCCAGCGCCTCCTTCTTGCCTCCAATGGCAAATCATGTCCTCAAAAGCCTCAGGGAGGTGCCATTTCAGTATTATTTTGTCCTCTTCCCATCCACCAACTGTCTTAGAAAAAAAATAAAAAAAGCATTCTTGCCATAGAAGACATTGCTACTCCCTGTCTCAGCCTCATTGCAGTTCACATAATCCCCAAACAATAAATTCATGCTAGCTGGGGATGGTGGGGCATGTAACCAAATTCTTCTGGTGGGTATCAGATAGGGAAATGGTTGCCCCCAGAACTTCCCTTTTAAAGTTCCCAGCCTTCTCTGGAGTAGAGATGAAGGATTCAGCCTCCCGTATACACCTACAATATACACCTATAGTAAAGCCAGGCTGCTGCAGCACATTTGGAATATAGTTTGGTTATGAGATGGGGAGGTGCTGTGTGCTGATTTCTGAGTTTGTGTTACTGCATTTGCATTGCATTGCTCAATTTATTATCTTCTTTGCACCTCTTGATTTGTTTTTTGGAAACAAATTACTTTTGTTCCCCAAATATGTATTTCTATGAATTTACATTTATTGTGAGCCACTTAGGCACCATATACTCAGGAGAAGCAGCATATAAACAAAGTGAACTTAAAGCTGTATTTGCTTGGACCGCATAGCAATACAGAATGCAGCTGGTCTCCTGCAACTGCTATCCTGTGGATCACAAAGGTGCAAAGGTAGCAAGGTCTATGTATATCAGTACAGCCTTTAACCTAGAGGTTGGGAAACATGTGGGCCCTCTAGTTATTGTTGCACTGAAAATTCCAGCAGCCTTAGCCAGCAGAGCTTACGATGAGGAATGATGGGAACTGCAGTCCAATGACATCTAAAGTTCAGCATCATTCCCATCCTTGCTTTAAATCCCTTAATAGCTCTGTTTTGAAAAATAGCATGAAGTGTACCATTGGCAAATGAATACAGCCTCATGCTCATGCCAATGATATGAGTTTTGAATGAGCAAAGACAGACCACTGGTGAGAATGAACCATAATCGACTCACAAGATATATGTGGCATACTTTGCCTGGACAAGCTGAAACATTTCTAATGTGACAGTGCAGCCCTTGAACATGGAATGGGTATATCCTGCCATTTTCAGGAAAGATAGCTACCAATGTGCAAAATAATGTGCAAAACCCTATCATAGGTTTTCTTGGCAAGATTTGTTCAGAGATTTGCCTCCTGGGTTGAGAGAATATGATTTGCTCAAGGTCTACCAGTGGGTGATTCGCCCGGTGTATTTCCTTGGCTGTGCAGTGGTTTGAACCCTGCTCTCCTAAACCCTTAGTCCAACTCTCGACCCATGTTGGGTCAACACAAGAAAGAAACTGACATAAATACTCTTCTCTTCTAGCAGGAAGAAGGGACAAAGAGAACACAAGAAGCAGATGTGAATCCTGAGAGATGAATTAAAATCTCACCTCAGCTACTGATTCACTGTGTAATCTCAGTTATTTTAACGATTTTGTTAGCTACATGGATATTCTGTCTTTCCTTTAAGATGGCATATGTGGTTCTGCTCCCACCCCATACTTTATCCCCACAACAAACCTGTGAGGTTTATCTAGTAAAAATTCACCACTGCACAGGGGAATATAATCGATCACTTCCAAATTCAGTTGCACCACTCTACACTGGTGCTTTCTTGCTGACTCAACTTAATTATTTCCTTATAAAATAATTTCTGAGCAATTTTTTTTACCAAAGAAGGAAGCTCCAAAGCAACTTACAATTTAGTTCCCCGCCTATCAAATGAAATTATAATTGGATGTCAATATTAGAGAGGAAATAGGCAACTATGGTCCACCACGTATTTCTGGAGTCCAACTCCCATGATCCCTTACCATTGGCTATGCTCGCTAGGCTGATGGGAGCTAGAATCCAGCAATGGGGGAATGGGATCTTTCTCCCTGCATGGTGGCAGACAGGGGCAGACAGTGTTTCAGGGGAGATAAAAGAAAGAATGGGTTAAATACTGGTAAATGCTTAAGCAAGGATGGATAACTAGTATTAAGCACCCTCTCCACTGGTCTTTCCACTGCTCCTAAATGTAACCTCCAAATGCCTTCGTTCAAAAAATAAAAAGTATCAGGAAAAATGCAAAGGGATAGCCATGTTAGCCTGTTTTACTATAGAATGACATCAAGGAACCCAGTACTGTACCACCACTGAGACCAAC